CCAAGTAACAAGTTTTTATTTTTTTCTTCAGTGCAAATGGAATTATTATTAGCCAAAATGAAAAAAAAGCTAAAACAACAGAGAATAACGTTGTGACCCCTCTTACAATCGTGCAAGTCAAAAAGAAAAGGGAAAATATTATCAATGTTTGCACTTGATTGGATGAAGAAAATAAAACTACACTGTTTCACAGGAAAAAGAGAAAACAAAATGGAAAAAATCCGATTTACGGCAAAAAATAATAAGAATACCGTTCTTATATATTATATACACTAGTGATGGAGCACACGATTTTTTCGTACGATATAAATTTTTATTTCTCACGATTCTTAAAGATTTACAAGTACAAGCGTTGAATTGCAACAAAGACAAAGAAAAGAAAGCTCAAACATAGATCTCTTGATAGTCTACAGTGCACTGTCTTGCTTCATGGTCCATGTATGTCCCTTGATATGAAAAGCACACAACGTTGAAAATGTCCGCATACCAATAACTTTGTTAACAAAAGGAAATGTCATTCACTCAAAATTGAGTGGAAACTTTATCTCCCTCTCTTGAACTCCCGTAATGGGTGAATCAAGCTCCTCAGCACCATTGTTGATGATTTGATGCCAAGAAGCTGCATCAAACCTAATAAATTGGTACAGAAGGTCATAGGTGCATGGCATTCCGCATCCAATTTAGTTCATGTACATTAACTAAATTAACATAAAAATTTGCCACACAATCTCCACAACTTAAAAGCAATTTATATATTTTCTTTCTTCAGAATAACCTCTTCAGATAGCAAGTTACATTCTAAAAAGGAATAAACTAATGTCCAACACCCCTATTTGACGCACACAACACGAGATGATTTCTCACTTGAGTAAGTACTTCATGAAATGGAGCTCTAAGAGATAGTGTGCAGAAGACAAAAGAAGTGCATAACTTATCTCAACAACCATTAAAGCTGACTTGTTTTTTTCCAAATGTATCAATTAACAATTACGAACACTATATTTATTTTGATCAAGAATTACCTAGTTACATCCTAGCTAGCTCATCTCAGGTAACTGGTCGTTCGAGAGGAATAACATAATTTTTTTCGACATCCCTTTATAAAGACCTCTTGATATCTGAAGAAAATGTAGAGAGAGAAGACACAGATGGAATATGTAGCGGAAAATCTAGGACATAAACAAAAAACAAAAAACAAAAAACAAAAACTTATTCAGAGCCATGTACATCAACTCACCAACCCATCCTCCTCTCGAGAATAATACCAAAGTGCGCTTATGCAGACTACTAGCCGAGGTGGGAAAAATGAGGAAATTATTAGTCCATACTTACCATGAACAATAACCATCACAAACTCAATCAACGTCACTGAAATTATTTGAACTATAAATGTCATGTGAACTAAAAGAAATTGAAAAAAAACGAGTTAATTGCACATAACCCCCTGTGTAATGTCAAATTGTCGAAAAAGTCGGCGTCTTAAAAAATTTAGCAAGGACCATCCCCTATGTTGTATTTTAAGAAGCCCACCACCCCTTACTT